GCCGCCTCCCGCGGGACTGAACCTGCTGCTCCAGGCTTAGAGCCTCCCCTGCCGCGCTGCGAACGCATCTCGACCCCGTTCTGCCATCCCGCATCCCCGATCCATGTGCCCCCATGAGGCTGCAGAGCAATGCCACAGTCCTTACCCGCGGCAAGTTCCTCCTCCCGGCATCACCATCCCAGCCATTGCTTCATGCAACCACAGGACCTCACAGCCAGTTACCAGGGTGGATAAATAGCACCTTGGACCTGTCTTTGTATGACCTGCACATTGCTGCACAGGCACTCCGAAGTCTCAGCAGAGCACAGTGATGTGGGGTAGTAACTGGACAGACATTAACACATCCTGTGTCTCCTCCTGAGGAAAACCAGGCTGGCTCCAACCTGGCACCAGAGTCTGTAATGAAACTCAATCCTGAACACGTGAGGCTTGAGTTCCATTTGTGTTTTTCTCATCTAATGGGTTCATCCTCTTGTTTGCACAGAACCGCATTGAAGTGAGCGGTGGAGAGCTGAGATTTTCCAAGCTAGTCCTGGAGGACTCTGGCATGTATCAGTGTGTGGCTGAGAACAAGCATGGCACAGTATATGCAAGTGCTGAATTAACAGTGCAAGGTAATTCCTCACTTCCCAGTGCTCTGGGTTTCAATGGGACACTGAAGCATTTCAGATCTTTTCCTTGCGATGTCAGAGTAAGAGAAGAGCAGACAAAAACAGCTTCACTCACCATTGAAATGTAGTTGCTGGTTCAACAAGACACTTGAAAACCCTTTAAAATTTAAATACGGTGTAAATTCAGTAATGCTGAAAGAGAACAAGGACATCTGTTTAGCTGCCGAAAGTGTACAGGACAGAGAGCAGCAGCACGACAAGCTCTAACCCACTACATAACCTCCCTCTTTTGGGGAGGAAAGAGGCCCAAGAAAAGAGTTCAGTATCCATTCGGCCTTTGATGGATGCTGACTGGAAGTGGGCTGATGCCAGCCTTGTTCTGTATCAGCCTAAAAGCTTATCTCCTCGTGGTCAGTCGATGCCAGAGAGAAATTAAAGGCCCTAAGCCTCAACTGCCCAACATTAACACGCTGCAACAGATAAAATCCAATTCTATCTTTGCAGCTCCAGGAGGAGTTTTGAGCAAGCTGGATGCCTCCACTGGTGACCTTGGTCAGGGTGTTGAAGAGAATATCCTCTACATTTTCAAAAGCAGCTGTTCTTGTGTCTCTCAAAGACCTTGCACTTGTTAGGGTCATACCCCATTGCTATGTACAACACATAACATCTGCCCTTCTGGTCAGAAACCAGCCGGCAGCAGAGGACTCCCTCCTTCATCCTGCTCACCAGATATTGCCATGCTTCTGTTACCAAACCATCTAACAACAAATGGATGCCTACTTACCTGGCACTTAAAATGCTCCCATAGCAGTGTTTTCTAATCATTCCTCAATCCTCTCTTTTCCCCCTGTAGCCTTAGCACCAGATTTTAGACTAAACCCAGTGAAGCAACTGATCCCTGCAGCCCGAAGCGGGAAGGTCATCATCCCATGCCAACCAAGAGCAGCACCAAAAGCCACCATTCTCTGGACCAAAGGCACTGAACTTCTGATCAACAGTAGCAGGTAGCAGCACAGAGCCAGCTCCTACCTAGAAACCATAGCTAAAATCATGGGGTTTTCTTGCCAGAAGACTGGACCTGACGACCAAAGTGTGCTGCTGCGTCTATAGCTTCTTCTTTAGAGAATTCCTACAGAGCACTTTGCAGCACTGTCTTTATCACCAGTTCCTCTCAAATCAGCAAATGCTGGAAACTGTCAGATGTACAAACTGAACAGCTATTTTAACCTTCCTCTTGTGTGGTTCTTCTTCCCTTCCAGGGTGACTATTACCACAGATGGCACCTTGATCCTCCAGAACATCAGCAAATCTGATGAGGGGAAGTACACCTGCTTTGCTGAGAATTTCATGGGCAAAGCCAACAGTACTGGGATCCTCTCTGTTCGAGGTAGACATGTTTGCCTTGATTTGGGGTCAATTGGGCAAGAGATGTCTGAGAATGCCATGATGTGATATTGCCTTATACTCCCCAAAACCAATGCAACACTCAAGGAACCAAAGACATTTCAGGCTGTGGAGCAGCAAACCTCCTGCCTGACCCACCAAATCATCCCTACCAACAACCAGTCCTTGTGGAAAGCATTTCCAGTTTCTAACCACCCTCCTCCTAGAAAACCACAGCCACTAGGGAGGGATGACAAGCTGCAAAGTGTTACTTGGTCTGGATGCTCAGCAGCATTCATATGTAGCTGGTACACGGACATTTGGAGCTAACAGCCCTCCCTGCTCTCTCCCTGCAGATGCCACCAAAATCACATTGGCACCATCTAGTGCTGACATCAATGTGGGTGAAAACCTTACTCTGCAATGTCACGCATCTCACGATCCAACCATGGACCTGACCTTCACCTGGTCGCTTGATGACCTCCCCATTGACTTTGACAAGTCGGAGGGGCACTACCGGCGAGCCAGCGCGGTGAGTAGAAAGGGCAAGCAGGGGAGAGAAGAGAACAGAAGGCTCACGGGTTAAGATGAGGGCAGGGAGGGATCACTCACCAGGTACCAGCACAGCCAAACCAGGCTCAGCTCGGGGAAACTGAGTCATCACCAACCAAACCAGAGCAGGATAGTGAGAAATAACACCCAAACCACCTTCCCCTCACCTCTCCCCTTCTTCCCTGGCTCAACTTCACTCCCAAATTCTCCACCTCCTCCCACCAGTGGCACAAGGGGATGGGGAATGGGGGTCTCTGCCATGCCTTCCTCCTCACACTCCTGCCCTGCTCCAGCATGGGGACCCTCCATGGGAGGCAGTCCTCCATGAACTTATAATCACAGAATGGTTTGGGTTGGAAGGGACCTTCAAAGCTCACCTAGTCC